GGATGAACACATATGTCAGCATGAACACATGTCAGGATGAACACATGTCAGGATGAACACATGTCAGGATGAACACACTTCAGGATGAACACACGTCAGGATGAACACATGTCAGCATGAACACATGTCAGGATGAACACATGTCAGGATGAACACATGTCAGGATGAACACATGTCAGCATGAACACATGTCAGGATGAACACATGTCAGGATGAACACATGTCAGGATGAACACACGTCAGCATGAACACACGTCAGGATGAACACATGTCAGAATGAACACATGTCAGGATGAACACATGTCAGGATGAACACATGTCAGCATGAACACGTCAGCATGAACACATGTCAGGATGAACACGTCAGGATGAACACGTCAGGATGAACACATGTCAGGATGAACACATGTCAGCATGAACACATGTCAGGATGAACACATGTCAGGATGAACACATGTCAGCATGAACACATGTCAGGACGAACACATGTCAGGATGAACACGTCAGTGTGAACACGTCAGGACGAACACGTCAGGACGAACATGTCAGGTTGAACACATGTCAGGATGAACACATGTCAGCATGAACACATGTCAGGATGAACACGTCAGGATGAACACGTCAGGATGAACACATGTCAGGATGAACACGTCAGGACGAACATGTCAGGACGAACATGTCAGGATGAACACATGTCAGAATGAACATGTAAGGATGAACACATGCCAGGATGAACACATGTCAGGATGAACACATGTCAGGATGAACACACGTCAGGATGAACACATGTCAGAATGAACACGTCAAGATGAACACATGTCAGGATGAACACATGTCAGGACGAACACATATCAGGACGAACACATGTCAGGACGAACACATGTCAGGACGAACACATGTCAGGATGAACCCATGTCAGGACGAACACGTCAGGACGATCATGTCAGGATGAACACATGTCAGAAAGAACATGTAAGGATGCACACATGAACACATGTGAACACATGTCAGAATGAACACACGTCAGGATGAACACACGTCAGGATGAACACACTTCAGGATGAACACATGTCAGGATGAACACACGTCAGGATGAACGCATGTCAGGATGAACACATGTCAGGATGAACACATGTCAGGATGAACACACGTCAGGATGAACACACTTCAGGATGAACACATGTCAGGATGAACACATGTCAGGATGAACACACGTCAGGATGAACACATGTCAGGATGAACACACGTCAGGATGAACACATGTCAGGATGAACACACGTCAGGATGAACATGTCAGGATGAACACGTCAGGATGAACATGTCAGGATGAACACATGTCAGGATGAACACACGTCAGGATGAACATGTCAGGATGAACACACGTCAGGATGAACAT